TGTGTGCAACATTGGCCACTTTGACACGGAGATTCAAGTGTCGTGGCTGAAGGCGAACGCGAAGGAGCGCGTGGAGGTTAAACCGCAGGTGGATCGCTACACCATGCACAATGGCCGCCACATCATTCTTTTGGCGGAGGGCCGCCTCGTGAATTTGGGATGCGCCAGCGGCCACCCCTCGTTCGTCATGTCGAACTCCTTCAGCAACCAGGTGCTTGCGCAGATCGAGCTCTGGACGCAGCGTGAGAGCGGCAAGTACCCGCGTGGCGAGAAGGCACAGGTGTACTTCCTGCCAAAAAAGCTGGACGAGAAGGTGGCGGCCCTGCACCTTGGCAAGCTCGGGGCCAAGCTGACGAAGCTCACCGCGAGGCAGGCGGATTACATCAACTGCCCCGTGGACGGCCCATTCAAGCCGGACCACTACCGCTACTAATCGCTTCTCGCACGCCTGTGAGGGGCGGAGAGGAGGAGGCAGGCAGAAAAACAGGCGGAGGGCGAGCACGTTTGCACCCCATTCATTCATTCATGTGCCCGGCAATATACATTCATGCATACGTGCGGCCGCGGCAACGCACGGCGTAATTTGGTTTTATACGACTGTTGAATTGAGCGAGAAATAAAGTGGAGGTTCGTATGAGGGAGGGGGGAAGAAGAAGGAAGAAAGAAAAGGAATAAAAAATGAAGTTTTTTTTTGTTTTGTTTTGTTTGGGACGCATTTAACTATCGATGAAAAAACAAAAAAAAAAAGAAGGAACTGTTGAAGGGAAAAAAGCAAAAGAGGAGGGGGGGGGGGCAGGTGAATACGCCAAGGAGGCAGGCATGAGGAAAAGAAAAAAAAAGAAAAAAAAAAAAGAAACAAACAAAACACAAACACACATAAATACTTACAAAAAAAAAAAAATAAAAAGATACTCAAAATGTGGGGGATGTGAAGGAAGTTGCGTGTGTTTTGAGTAATTTACATCTTGTCTGATCCCATTGCATTCTGTGTGTGTCTGTGCGTGTGTGTGTGTCTGTTATTCCGCGGAGCCTCGCCCCTTTTGTGTTTTCTTTCTGCACTTGGACTGCCGGGACCTTCTTTTTATAAAATTTTTTTTTTTTTTTAACTCCTCCTTGACGTGCGCTTGCTTATATATAGATTGACGGTTCGGCCGCGGTTAAGAGGATGTTGGCCGCTCTGTTGCCGTCCGTCGTGTTGTTTGTGCTGGCGCTTGTGGCGTTTTCTGGCGCGGTGACTATTGTGCACGGAGGTTTTATTCGGCTGGCCATTGGGGCTCTAATTGTGGCGCTGTTGATATCCATTATTTTTTCGTCGTGTGCTGTTCTGTTGCTGGAGGCGTCGAGTAGTTTTCCTACGGATGTGGTTCCTGTGATATTTTTGCGCGGCGCACTGGGGGCCATTGCGCAGCCGACAATAGCGGGTATTGTTTTGCTTGCCATGCTGGTTGTTCTTGCAATGAGCACCTCCCGCGTGTGTGGGCTGGTGGAGGAAATTCAAATTCTGCTGGATGCACACAAGGCAGTGGCAGAAGCGGAAGTAATTTCGTCCACGAAGAGGTAATAGTTGTTTGTGCAAAAAAAAAATAATATATATTTGCTGCCGGAAACAAGGAATTTTTATGCGTCAATAGGGATGTCTTTGCCTTTGTGCATTGCAGTGGCAATGAGTTTTCCTTTTCATTCGTTACGCACCGACGTCCGTGTGTGTGTGTGCACTGCACTCTTTTCTTCCTTTTCTTCTTTTTTTTTTCTTTTTTCTTTTGCGTGTGTAGGAGTGAAAGGGAAGCTGAAGCAGAGTGGGAAAGAGAAGGAGGGCGGGCGACAATGGATGCCCTGTACCTTATGAGCAGGGCGCAGTTCCATCAGGCAGCGACTCACATCTCCCTCTATCGCGAGGATGCGTCACCGGGCTACCGGACTCTCGGTGAGGAATGCCTGCGCCTCGTTGGCCTCAACCCCAGTCGCTACGTTTACTGGAATGTACCGAACATGAGCGCCTACTTTGGAAGGACAGTGCCAGTGGACGTTCATGGTGGTTACGTTCTCGTGGACGAAGGCGCTGCAGGGCGGCTTGCCACAAGTTACGGGGTGTTGCGCTACGCGTATCTTTCCGCCGCCGTGCGCGCAAGGGAGGGTGGGAGGTGGCGGTACGACTTCATGACGATGAACATCACTCTCGCTGTGGGTGTGGCAGGCGGATTTGCAGCGCTTTCTGTCGGCAGGTCTCGCTGGGCGTGGATGCGGCGACATCCGGTTGGCGGCATTGCTGTCAGTCTGCTTGCTTTTCTCACGGGCACAGTGGCCTCTCGCCAGGCAATTCGCGTTCTCGGTGTCGGGATTGTGACTGCACATAACAGCCACAAGAAGGCTCTGACGAAACTTAACTGCGCTGACTGCTTTGACGACGTCAACCTCTACACTGCACAGCAAGTCGAGGACCTGCGCAAGCAGGAGATTCCGCGACAACCAGGGATGCCTCCGCCACCGGAGGAGTTTGTGAAGCGATTTGAGCGGGGCACGCAGCTGCAGATAAAGGTGCTGCAGGCCGATATGGACGAGGTGCGTGCGGAGAAGCGGCGCATTGGTTCCCACTTCTGCGACGTGCACCGCGGCCTCCGCGAGGATGAGGGGTACGCCGAGTCGGTTGTGCTGCCGATCTCACCCGTGGACACCCAGCGTGCCAGCGAAAGACTCCGTGCCGAGAGAACGGAGAAGAAGGCGGAGTGAAAGGGGAAAACTAAAGAAAAGGGAAGGGTCATAGTGGGGCGAATGACGCGGAGAAAATAGGGTGGGTAGCTCGCGTGTGCGCATTTTCTCTTTCTTTCTTGTTTTTTCTTTTTTTTTTTTTTGTGTGTGTGTGTGTGATGCCGTTCACTATCCTCGTTGTTTCGGTTTATTTTTGTCTCCCCCTATAAATATATATTTGATGCCACACACACGCACAGAGAGGGAGAAAGAGAGGGAGGGAGTGAGTGAGGAAGGAAAGGTGGCCAGGCAAAATGTCGGCGAAGAAGAGGGCCTTCGATGTCCTCGTCCTTGGGGCTGGCGCAGCAGGCTGCGCAGCGGCACGTGCTATTGCGTTAAGATACCCCAATGCGACGGTCGGCCTTGTTGAACAGGGCACCCGGCGCCCACTGCCGTTGGTGATGCGTGTGCCGCTGTTGACGCCACTCGTCGCCTCGGTGCGCAGCACACGAGGGTTCCTGCGCAAATATCATGGAGTTCCTGAGGAGTGCATTGGGGGGCGGCAGTTGAAGTACGTGCGGGGCTGCGCTCTTGGCGGTAGCAGCTGCTGCAATGATATGCGGTACATGCGCGGCACGACGAGGGATTATGCGGCATGGGGCGATCCGATGTGGTCCTTTGAGCAACTCCTGCCTTTTTTCTGCGCCTTGGAGCGCAACTCTCGGGGGGGCTCCTTTTTTCATGGTAACAGTGGTCCGCTGGATGTTACGGATGTTCCACGGGCAAATGTCGGTTTTGAGTTGAACATCCTTTGGTTTGAGTCGTGCGAGGCGCTGGGCATCCCCGAGACGATGGACTTCAACGCTGGAGCGGCGGACGGCTTTTCGGCCCTCCAGTCGCTCATCGCAAAGGGCGTGCGCGTGGATGTCTTTGACGCCCTCTTGGAGCGGGACCGCCACCTGTTCCCCAATTTGACCGTCATGCCGGAGACGAGGGTGCAGCGGATACTTTTTGACGGAAAGCGAGTGAGTGGCGTTGAGACTAGGGTAGGACGCGACGTGGAGGTGCTTTTTTCCTGTCGTGTTGTCTTGTGTTTGGGGCCGTTGGAATCTCCGGCGCTGCTGCAGCGGAGTGGCGTTGGAGCGGGCGGAAGAGTTGCTGAAATTCCCGATGTCGGGAAGAATCTCATTCAGCCCACTTCCGCAACAATTGTGTTTGGTGTCACACATAACGCTAACCTTCACAGCAAGTCTGTGAGCTGGCGCAACGCCCCGTACCTGCTGCGCCAGTGGCGGGAGTACAACGAGGAGCGCTCTGGCGCGTTTGCCTCCCTCGCAGAAGGTGCCGCGTTTGTCCGTTCGACGCCAACGGCAGCGTGGCCGGACTTATCGCTGACTTTTTTTGCGACTCCCAACGTGCGCTGGTGTGGGTGGAGGCCGTTTGACGGCTTTGCTGTGCGTGTGGCGCACCATTACCCCGAGAGCCGCGGTGAAGTCGACGCGGTGGATGAACACAACATCCGCATCACAAGCCGCATGTTTTCTTCGCGGAAGGACGTGCAGTGCATGGACGAGGGCATGCGTTGGGTCGGGTCGCTTTTCGCCGACGCGCGGTCGGCGTTCCACATCGACGCACAGGGCCGGCCGACTTCGCCTTTCGCCTCGCTTGGCGTGCATGTGCGCCATCCAAGGAATGCCCTTCACACGCAGCAGGGGACCGCCGCCTTTTTGGCGGAGCACGCACAGGGCACCGGTGACCTCTTTGGCACATGTGCGCTTGGGAAGGTTGTAGATAGCACGCTGCGTGTGCGGGGTGTGGACGGGCTGCACGTTGCGGATGCTAGTGTCGTGCCAACCCCGACTTGCGGTGCGAGTTGTGTCATTGGCGCGGCCATCGGGTCAAGGGTGGCGTCGATTCTGCAGGTGTGACGTTCTTGGGAGTCGTAGCTCTCACCTCTGCGTCCCTTTTGCCCATGCGCTCTCTTCTTCTCACACTCACTCACTTTCTGCTCTCTGTGCCGTGTGTCGTGTCTTCCTATCATCATCATCATCCCGACAGCCGTCCCTTTTTTTTCTGTTTGCTCCGCATGCGTGCGTGGGCCGCGGCTTCACCCACGGCGGCATTGCGTGCAAGGCAGTTGTGTTGAGAAGACAAAAAGGAGGGAGGGGGTAAGTAGCGTCGAACAAAACAAAAAAAGAAAAAAAAAAAAAGAAGTTTGGAACGCATCGCTTGCACCGACCGCAGCGGCGACCGCATCCATCATCCTCAGTGCTGCAGGTGGCGCTTGGCCTCGCGGTTGTTTGCGGACAGGCCTCATGTCCCAGCAGTTAGTGCCGTGGGTGGAGAAGTACCGCCCAAAGTCGATGGAAGACATTGTCGGCAACGCCGATGCCGTTTCGCGCCTGCGGGTGATATCGAAGGAGGGAAATCTCCCGAATCTGCTGTTGTGCGGCCCGCCAGGGACCGGCAAGACCACGAGTGTGCTTTGCCTCGCCCGCACGCTGCTCAGCGACCAGGACGGCGGCGACACGACCGCCCTCAAGGAGGCAGTGCTGGAGCTTAACGCCAGCGACGACCGTGGACTGGACGTGGTGCGGGAGAAGATAAAACTGTTTGCGCAGACGAAGAAGACGCTGCCGCAGAAGGTGAACGAAAGCAGCCAGCAGAAAATAAATCTCCACAAAATTGTCATTTTGGACGAGGCGGACAGCATGACGCCGGCGGCCCAACAGGCCTTGCGCCGCACCATGGAGCTTCACTCCAGCACCACACGCTTTGCTTTTGCCTGCAACAACAGTCATAAAATAATTGAGCCCATTCAGTCTCGATGCGCTGTGGTGCGCTTCAAGAAGCTTACGCATGCGGACATATTGAAGCGGCTCACGTACATTATTCAGCAGGAGAACGTCACTTACACCGATGACGGGTTAGAGGCTTTGCTGTACTTGGCAGAGGGCGACCTTCGTTCCGCTGTGAATGCCCTTCAGGCAACGCACTCGGGCTATGGCATGGTGAACGCGGAGAATGTCTTTAAAGTTTGCGATCAGCCGCATCCCCTGCTCGTGGAGAGCATTATGGATGGCTGTCTCCAGAAGAAGGATTTGCCGAGTGCACACAAGGAGCTGCAGCGGCTTTTAGGCCGTGGCTACGCGGCTTCAGATGTCATCTCCACCTTTTTCAGGACGGCACAGAATCCGAAGTTGTTCCGCAACGAGCAGCAGCAACTGGCAGTGCTGCGCATCATTGGGGAGACAACCATGCGGATTGCGGAGGGCGTTGGCACACCGCTGCAGCTTGCCTCGATGCTGGCTCGAATCACAATGGTCAACACGGACTGAGATGACCGCATCGAACTCAATACGACCGCTCACAACACATTCTAATGCACCACTTATTATTATTATTATTATTATTATTATTTTTCATAGATGAGGAGCCTTTTGTTGATGAAATTGTCGTGTGGTTCGTGGACGCATCGAAAGTAAATCTTAATGCCGATGATGATTACGGGGGAGTTGACGCGTTACATCTCTGGTCGCCGTCCCTCTGTGTTGGATGTTTGTGGGTGAAACTGAATCCAGAGGACAATAAAAGAATGCAAGGAGAAAAATTACTTTTTTTTTTTTTTTGGCGTTGGTTTTGACCCACTTTTTTATGTGCTCTTTTCTCAGCTGGGAAGGATTGAGATGTTCTCACGGCATGTTTTTGGTTTCTAATTTTATTTTTTTTTTGTTTTTGTTTCTCTCACCCTCATTTTTTGGGTACATTTGAAAATGTGCGTTTTTGCTCACATGACGCGCTGCAGTGGTAGTGGTGGGGGTGGGGTGGTGGTGCACACGCGGGATGACGTCTTATGCGGAGCTTCTTGCTGCGTGCACGGAGTTTCAGGAGAACTTTGCCAGCCTCAATGGGAAGTACAACGCCGCGGTGCAGGAGGTGCGAAATGCGAAGGAGGCGAATGAGCGCCTTTCCAAGCAGCTTGAGGCTATGCGGAGCAGCGAGGACAAGCTGCAGCACACAATCCGTGAACTGAGGAAGGAGCTTCACGAGGCGCATGCGTACAAGGACCGCTACCTCGCGGCGAACGTGTCGGTGGAGCACCTCAAGGGAAGACTGGAAAACGCCCGACGCGCCGTCGCGGACAAAATGTTAGAGCACGAGCAGCAGGTAGAGCAGCTGCAGGGGCAAATGCGGGACCTCCTGCAGCGGGTGAGTGTCTGCGCGGACGCACAGACCACACAGAAGCTGAAGAAGCAAGTTGTGGAGCTGGAGGAACGGTGCGCGGAGCAAAGCGGTCACTTATTGGAGGAGAAGGAGCGCGGCAGTCAGCAGTTGCTGGCGGCCCACACAGCCCTGCGTGAGCAGCAGGCCCGCAACCTCGAACTGGAGCAGCGCTGCCGCACATTAGAGGCGGAGATTACGCAGATGCGTTCTGTCGTGCGGCGATCAGCAGACCTGCAGAATGAGGCTGCCGTCGCGAGGGAGAAGAGTGCGTCCGACGCGCGGAGGGCCGTCATGCAGGCGGAGTCCGTCGCAGCGGAGCTCCGTGAGACGCGAGCGAGGCTTGGCGCGGTTGTGGCGCAGCACGCGGAGGAGATGGAGGCGGCAAAATCTGCGGCGGATGAGGAGAAGTCGCAGCTCCTTGAGCGTGTAAGTCAGCTCTCCGCTGCCGTGGATGACGCCGTCGCGTCACGCAACGCGGAGCAGGAGCGGTATGCGGTGCTGCAGCGCTCCCTTCACGAGCGTGTCGAGGCGGTGCGGACGGAGACGCGGTTGGAGGTGACGGCGCTTCAGAAGTTGCTTTCTGACGCCCGTGCCGAGGGGCAGCAATTGGCATGGCGCGTTGAACAAACGAAAATGGAGCTGGAGGAGAGCAGACGCGCGGTGCAGCAGCGGGAGGCGAAGCTTGAGAGTTGCGCCGCGGACTTGAGGCAGTTGCAGACGCGGCTGGATGCCGTCACGCAGCGGGAGGCGTGGCTGTCGGCGGAGCGGGACCACCAGCTGGCACAACTCGCCGCGGCCCGCGAACAGGCGCAGCATTTGGCGGCGTCGCAGCGGGCACATGAGGAAAGCAATCTCGCTGGGGAGCGGCTGCGCATTCAGCTGCAGTTTCTCGAGGAGGAATTGCAGGGGGCGCGTCGCCTTGCGGAGGCCTCCGATTCACATGTGAGGGACATTGAGGAGGCGGCGGAGCGACGGCTGCGTGCCCTGCGCAGCGAACTGAAAAGTGTCAAGAAAAACGCCCGGGCGGAGCGGGCGAAGGCGGACGCCGTGCGACGTCGGTTGGTGCAGGCGCTACTGGAGCGTGAGGCGAATGTGTTGCCGCAGATATGTTTGCAGACTCAGCGGCCGCATGAGACGGCTGCGACTGCGCCTGAGCAGCAACGGCCTGCTGTGGGGTTGGATGTGTTGACGCTACTTCGTGGACAGACCGAGCAGGCGGCGGCGCTGCACCACCGACTTGTAGAGCTGTCGAGGTGACTTCCCGCCCATGTCCATTCTGACTATTATTATTGTTATTATATTATTTTTAACATCATACCCAATGGCATCGCTACTAGAAATAACGCACGGTGACACTCCTTTTAGTATTTATAACATAATGAGATGCAACTCGTTTTGAGCATAGATGCATTATCTTCGTACGAGCACACACACATACACACATACATACATACATAAATACATACATGAGAAAAAAAATATATATTTCTTCTTTACTCACTTGATGTTCACATGGAACAACGCATACATGTGTCCATTTCTCTTTCTCTCTGTGTGTGAATGAGTGAGATATTGAGGGGCACACGCGGGATGCGCATTTTAGAAGAATGCTTAATTATTAAGCTTATATATATCTATATATACTCATTGTACTCCCTGTTTCTTTAGCCTTCCATGGCCACGCAAATTGCCGTCATATATATTTGTGTGTTAATGGAACGACTGCTATTAATATCTTCTTGTTGCTTTTATGTGATTTTGTCTACGGTGTAATGGGTCGAAGATACGCTGGAAGGTTAGAGAATTATAAATAATAGATAATAACTAGATAAATAAATAATAATAATAATAATAATAATAATAATAAAAGGCATATCTTTTCCATATGCGTCACTGCTGTGGTCTGCCACAGAAGGCAAGGATGTTAAAGTCCATGCTGCGCTCCAAGGAGCTGAGTTTCCTGATGGAGGCGCACAACGGTCTTTCCGCTCGCATTGTGGAGGAGACGGGATTTAAAGCAATTTGGGCCTCGGGTCTCTCGATATCCGCCCAAATGGGGTTCCGCGACAACAACGAAGCGAGTTGGACGCAGGTGTGTGATGTTGCCGAGCAGATGAGTGATGCGACAAGTATTCCCATCCTGCTGGATGCCGACACGGGCTACGGAAACTTCAATAACGCTAGGCTGCTCGTGCGGAAGCTGGAGAAGAATGGCGTGGCCGGTGCCTGCGTAGAGGACAAACTCTTCCCCAAGACGAATAGTCTGCTGGATGAGAGGGGGGCACAGCCGCTCGCGGATGTGAAGGAGTTTGCGCTGAAGATTCGCGCCATGAAGGACACACAAACAGATGAAAACTTTTGCGTTGTGGCACGCGTCGAGTCCTTCATTGCTGGCTGGCCACTGGAGGAGGCATTGAAGCGTGCCACGGCGTATGCCGAGGCGGGTGCCGACGCCGTACTCATTCATAGCAAGAAGAAGGACTCCTCCGAGATTGACGCCTTCATGGCCCATTGGGACAATAAGACGCCTGTTGTCATTGTGCCCACCAGCTACGCCAGCGTCCCGTGCGCCCACTTCCGCGAGATCGGGATTAGCACCGTCATATGGGCGAACCACAACCTGCGGGCCTGCATTGCCGCCATGCAGGCCTCGACGCGGATGATATTTGAGCAGGAGTCGGTTGTAGCGGTGGGAAAGAACATTGCGCCGGTGAAGGAGATCTTCCGACTGCAGCGGCTTCCCGAATATCTTGAGGCGGAGGAAATGTACTTGCCGAAGAAATAAATTACTCTCTCCCTTTTCTTTTTTTTTTCCTTTCCGTTTTTCTTTTATGTTTTTCTTTTTTCTTTTTGCCTTCGCGCCATTGCATTTGTTTTGCTGGCGCGCGTGGTTGGGCTGAGGAAGGCGCTGGCTGGGAGGGAAGTGCGGCTCACGGAGAGTGTGGGGAGAAGAGGAAGAAGAGGAGGAGGAGGAGGAGACGACGACACATGCGAGAGTTCCTCCTCTTCTTTTTTTTTTTTTTTTTGTTTGTTTTTCTGCTGAACGGCCCTTCGCGTGGCCCTCACGGGGAAATGGACAAATTTGTGTGCGCCCCCTTCCTGCGTGACTTTTTTTTTTTTTGTTTATTTGTTTTTTTCCCTTCTGTTTGTTTGTTTGCGTGTGGAGTTCGCCGCCCCCCCCCCCCTTTTTTTTTTTTTTTCATCTGCGCGCTGCTGCGCCCGCCTCTTCCCTTTTCCTTCGCCTGCCGCCTGCCGCCTGCCGCTTGTGTGCTGTCATCCCCTCCCCCCCTCTTTCCCTCCCTTGTCTTCTCCCAACACACACACACACAAACGGGTGTGGGCGCCACAACACCGCGAGAGAAGAGAAGCAACAAAAAGTCTTTTATTTTTAAAGGCAAGCGACACGCACACATACACACACAAAAATAAATAAATAAATAAATAAATAATCTCCCCTCCCCACAGCAGCAGCCGCAGCAGCAGCAGCAGACGACGGCAGGATCGGGGGCGACAAAAATAAACGGGGACCGCTGACAGGAAGAAAGAGAAAAAGAGAAAAAAGGGGTGCCAACGCATCACTGACACGTAAATAGGAAAAAAAAAAAAAAAAAAAAAGAAAAACAACAACAACAATAAAAAACAATTGTCGTGTTTATTACCGCGAATTATTAAACAATGGCGGAAGGAATCAAGTGGCACAACGCGGCTATTCAGGACGAGCTCGTCCCAAAGAAGAGCCCACTGGAGTTCAAGCTCCCCGACAGTGCGAAGGAGCTTGTGTTCATGGCGAAGCTCACAGAAGAGGCGGAGCGCTATGACGAGATGGTGCTGTGCATGCGCAAGCTGGTGAAGTTGAACAGCGAGCTCGACACGGAGGAGCGCAATCTCCTCTCCATGGCCTACAAGAACGTCATTGGCTCCCGCCGCAATGCTTGGCGTATCATCACCTCCATTGAGAGCCGTGAAAGTGCGAGGGAAAAGAGCGAGAACCTACAACTCATTGCCTCACTGCGGAAGGAGTTCGAGGCGGAGCTCGCGGCGATCTGCGACGACCTGCTTGCACTGCTGGACACGTACCTCATCCCCGCCTCGCAGGGCGGCGAGGTGAAGGTGT